CAGGAAGGAAAAACAAATATATATGGTACCATACACTTAGAGAAACAGTCGGCAAAAAATAAAATAAAGTTTCATACATAAGTATATAATGGATAAAACAAACCTATGGAACAAGCCTGTGTTCCATCTGCAGTTGGTGTGAACTTTAATTAATTTGCATGGCACTTTGGCAGAACGTTATTTGCACCACTAATGCAAAACATTTGGAAGATGCACTTTTGCATCTGATTAAAAATGATCTTTCGACAAATGCTTTTCTGCTATACTTTAGAACTCAATGTGACTGGAGAGTAGAATGCTACTTTTTAACTGTAGGTCTGCAATCATTTCAGACCTACTAAATACAGCAATTGACCTGAGACTTGTGTGATTTGAAAAAATGTGGACAACTCCAAACCCAAGACACAGGAAAACGGTAAAGATTGCAAAATTGGGATTGATCAGAGTTATGGGACATTTGAAAATGGTATGTAAATGAAAGTGGGTTGTGACTGTAAAATAAACAATCTTAATCATGGTTCAGAAGAACTGGCATTATTCACATCAGCTTTGAAGCTATAAAAGTCGAAGGTTATATTTCTAAAAAGGGGTTGAAGCAAGGTACAGAACTCAACAATATGAAAAAAATATTAATGTTAGGGTTAAGTGTGTAAAATACTAATCACAAAAATGCTTCCTCCAATAGAGTACTGTGACAACATTAAGCCAGTAACAATGTATTTTTTTCCTCTCTTTTTGGTCAGCCTGTCCGTATGTGAATAAAGAACAATACTAACTGTTATGCATATTAACGCAAGGTTTATCACAGTTTACATCCAAGGGCTTTCAGCAAGTTATATTACTGCTGAAGTCTGCAGGAAGGGCATTTCCATTTTGAATAATGATTCTACAACAATAGTCTTCCACACGTCACACCCCAGGGGAAACCTACCAAATTCTACATTCACTTCTCTAATGTGATCACAATTCCTACTGGACTAATTGGAATGTCCTATAAACCAAACAATAGGCTGATAACAAACCCAGCATTTAATTTTTAACTCATTTAACGTTATCTGCATTCCCACTGTAGTTTATTCTCACTGTCCTCTTGTTTCCCACAACATCAGTCTTTGTTGTGTGCCTCATCGGTTCAAATTTACCTGGGAGGGAGCGGGAAAGGAATGGAGAAAGAAACATTCAACTAAAATCTTAAGCCCCAAATGTGAATTAGTCCCTAGGAAGGATGGAAAGAGGATTGCTTGAAAACATTTTTGTTCAAAATTCAATTAACAAGTCGAATAATTTTTCTTTCTCCTTCAGAACCACCCCACTCCCCGGATTTTCACTAGCAAGTTTATTTGTTCAAATGGCAGAAGGGCATAAAACAATTTACATTCCCTCTCCTGTGAGTCAACAACAAGGAACATAATAGATAACCTACTTGAAATGAGTAAGGTCTAAGAAATAGTGTTGTCTGAAGATACATAAGGTGATCCAAATGTTAACTTTTTGTGATTTGTATGTATAGGAACAGACGCAAATTGCTAGTGCATGACTCCTATGAACATGTGGAGAACGACTACAGTAACTAAACCCTGTTCCACCATGTGGAATCTCAATGTCCCCAAATAGATTTCAGTTCATCCAAGAGGAAAATGAGATGGATGTCACCAATGACTGATTCCAGGGAAATGGGAAAAAGTCTCAAGTCAGAAACGGGTTGGAGAAGGAACGCTAAGCTTTGGCCTAGGCTCTTAACAACTTTGATCGCAGAGGAAAGATCAAATTGTGTAAATATATAGGGTCAGTACACACAAGAACAGTGGCAGAGAGACAGGTGGACTCTGCATTCTTCATCACAATTGTGATAAGCTTATTCCTGGATATTTCTGAGACTTTATTCTGAAGCGTGTTTCATCTATGCTCAACACGCACACCCTAATAAAGGTCCAGGAAACTTAAAAAGAAATGTAAAGGTAGTGCAGGCTCGAGGTGATGAAATCATGAAACAACACAGATAGGCATATGGAGAGGATGTGCATTGATGCATAAAGCTACTTCACATTCCACGGAGGTTGCAACTTTCTTGTGTTAATTGAGGACTGACCTACTGGTAACTAATGACATGAAGAACACAGAAGTGTGAAGATTCTGCAAACTAAAAGGCATTATGCACAAAAGATCAAGCCAGTGGAAGCATCATCAGTCTTTCTATGTTTGTGTGTCATTGCCACATAGACAATATTATTCTAATGTCTATGTTTATTCCTGGTGTCAAACATTATTTAGGTTTCAGTCATTTTAAAATGCAACACTGAGCGCATCAAAGCTTCGAGCTTGAAGAGAATTTTACCAGTCCTAGTAAACAAGTTGACTAAACATTTTAATTCCGATTCTATGAAAGTGATTTGCTAGCAATTAACTGGACTGAACTGACAATGTTATTTTTCCTACAAAGATGAAATAAAACCTATCCTAATTCATCTAGGCAAATTTATTAGGTGAAAAAAGTGTCAAACTTCTATCAGGTTTGCATATTGTAAAGAAGAATGGAATACACTACAAACTGATCAAAGAAACCTATATTGCTGGTGTTTTTCTGAGGTTCTTGGCTTTTAGAATGATTCAAGACTGTTGCTTGTTCACGTTAAACATTTAGATTTTGCCTTCTGAAAGAATGCACAAATGTTCTAAAATGTACTGTGCTATGAAACTGCTTTAATTTTTCAAAATAGATCTGAACTAGTTATTCATAACTACAAAAAACTACTCGATTTAAGAATGCCACTAGCTGGTAAAATAGTGGGAGCATTGCCTTTAGCAATCACAAAGATACAGTCTGTGCACTTTGATTTTTCAGTGTTGCATTCAAAGACTTTATAAAAATGCATTAACCTAAAAATGTTCACGGGTGCTGATTCCGATGGATGGTTCATTTGATGCATGCAAAAATATTTAATTGTATGCAATTATCCATGAGTAAACGTTCACAACAACACTGGCTATATTATAAAATTCCTCTCCCACCTTCCGTTGACTATTTAGTTTGACGTGAGGAGATGCTGCAAAATTTCACAACTGTACTTTCATTTTCTGTGATGAAATATTAACATGACATGGAAAAGAATTAAGTAATGAAATAGCTCCTTGAAAATGTGGGCAATTTGATTGACTTCATTTGGAACATGTATTTGTTAAAGTAGTGGTTGTTCAAGCAACAGTGAATGCCTGTGTACTCTACCTTGGAATTGAAGATAGGCTGATGGATTGAACACTGATGCGGATATATGTGAAGTCCTTTAATACAGCAGCCTATCTTCAATTCCACAGTACAGTACACATGAAGGTTTGCTGTTTCTATTTGATCATTACTCTATGAATATTGAAGAAACTCGCTGTATCAAGGTGAAAATAATATTATTACTAAACAGCTTATTACTGAGCTACAACAGTAAAAGTAACGGGGACACTTTAAAATATGAGCAGTTTTCGTGCCTTGCTACATTCTTCCACATCAGACATATCCAAGACAATGCTTTTGTAAATATAGAAGCCAATAGCATAGATATTTGCTGTACAATTTTCATTGAAAGATTTTGCCTCCATAGAACAAGTTGAGATCTTGAACGGTTGACGGTGATATCTTTGTTCTGCAGTAGGTACATTATACTGGGCTGTTTTAATAGAAATTTTCTTGAGGGGATCCTTAATTGTTCAGATGTACCCAAAATGGAGACTTTAATTAACTGCTTTGGATCAATGAGAACAATGCATTCAAAAAAGCATCACTGAATTGAATGCATTTCACTCAGAGTTTGTGGCAGAGAAATAAAATGTTCATACTGAGTAAGACACATACACCATCATTCTTGAAAACATATAGGTGAAGAATATCTAATAAATTCTGTCGAATGTACAGTACGTTGTAAGTTATTGATGGGCATCCCTAACTGACTAGCTTTGTGTTAGATCCGCAGTACAAGCAAATGAATGCTGTATTAAATTTTCATTCTTTCTTTAGTACAATAATGATTTCCCAAGTAAGCAAGCAGAACTTAGACTCTTAATCAGACCTCTCATTAAATTCTTCGTCTCCTCCAGAGAAAATTCGCATTTTAAACCACTCCTGCTCTTGCTCATCCACTCTGGCCCGTAAGATTATAAAACATCTCCCCTAAAATATAGTACAAAAAGGACAATGCCACAAATGTGGGACTTCAATTAATTTAAAGCCCCAATCAGTGAAGAATAAATCCTTAGCAGATCTAATTACTAGAGCTCTCGGAAGACCTGAGCAGACCAGCCAATCTTCCTACTGTTTGAACAGCTTGATGAACTAGGGGACTGATGGATATCAAATCATTTTGTTTAATTTATAAATGGATTTTCCCCTAATACTAAAATTATCATCAGTACAACACCATCAAAATGGGAACATCCTGAATGCAAAGTCTGTGAGGAGTCTGGAAAGCATCCCGATGAGGAATGTTGCTTCTGTTCAATCCCCCAAGATTCATCTAATTAAAACATGGAGGGGGCGAGTGAGCCTGTATAAAATGACTGCATTGTTTTCCCTTCACATTCAAAGTTACATTCAGCTGTAAACTGTTCATACGCTTCAGATATTGAACAAAAAAGTCTCGAAAAACCCAAGCAAAAAGAGATATCTAGCACCATCTAAGATAAATCTATTCATAGAAACACATAAATACGTGTTGTAAATTGGAGATAATATATGAAGTGTATCCTAGAGAAATTTATGAATGATAAATACAATTCCCTAAAAATGTTTGTTCTAATTGCACTGTTTTAACTAGGACCAACCTATTTGTGACATTTTCTTGGGTTAAATTAACATACTTGCCTGATGCATTCTGAACATTTCAGCAGTAAAATTATACGGAATTGTAACTATCACTAGACCTATTTTCCCTCTGGTCTTCGCATCAGTGAATAGAGCTCAATCATTTTATAAAGGTCCTGCCCCAACCCTGCCCTTTTCTGCTCCAAATTCCCACCTGGCTCAGGGGTCTCCGACTGTGAGGACGAAGATGCTGAGCTGGCTCCATCCTCTGCGGTACCCTGTGAGAGAATGCCTCGCCCTGGGGGAAGTTTCATGCCCAGCTGCTCTGCCATCTCCACATGGTCTCCAGGGTGGACATAATCAAACACACTGCTGCCTGTCAGTTCCACCTGAGGGGGCAGAAGTTAAAGTCTAACATCAGATTCACTTTTCAATCAAATCGACAATACCTAGAAAATAATGACCGTTAATTGTGCTACCTTAGATTTGCCGAAATTTTATCGAGTAGAACTCTGCTGTATGTTATTAAACAGCAATCATATTCCACCCTTGCATTTATAAAACATTTTTTATTAAGCTAATAATACGCCATATTCAGAGTTCAAGAAGCACGGATTAACAACAATTATTTTACGTTCTTTTTGCCGAGCATAATTCCATGAAAATAATCTTCAAAATTTCTATTGAAACAAAAGTGCACATGCACAACATACACATACACTCACACTTAGTACATTCTACAGAGAGTGATTTAGGAGTTTAAATGAAAGTAGTTTGGCAAGAAGCATCATTCATCAGCACAAATTAGTGGTGAGATTTCTTATGTAGAAGCACTGTATTCATCAGTTTAAGCAGATAAGCTCGACAAGTTCTGGTTGAAAGGTTTATGTCTCTATCTTGAGCAACAACTTGTAAATTGTAATACTGAGACAATTTGCAGATCAAATGTATATACATTAATTTAGTGCTTAACTTCATTTTTAAAAAGCAAGCATTTTGCTGCTGTTTTATAGGTCTCATAATATGACTTATATTATAAACCTCCAATTTGATGACAGAGACATACATCAAGTTGACAATATCTTTGTAGACATGATTTCTTAATATGAAAACAATTTAAGAAACAGTTCTATAGTTCATTTTCCATCAGAACAAGTCTGGTGATATTTTTCTCCACATTCTGCTTTCCTACATCATAATGGTAGATACACTGTAAAGATGATGTCAGTCATAAAACATTTTTATATAGAAACAATAAAACAAGGGTGAAAAATGCATAGGTCATACAATATGTTACGCTGGTCATCAAGACTGTTGTCAATCATTTTACAAACATTAAAGCAAAGGCCTATACGTTCACTGAAATAACCTTGACTTAAAACATTGCCCTGTTGAATTAACATGAGTTCTATGCAGTTAGCATAACACAGAGTAACTGTGATGCTTTGAACGTGAGAAATCCCACTAATTACTGTACCCTTAGGTACTATGCAAAGTTACTCCAAGCAATGATTTTACTGCTGATGCCTTTATATGTTTAAATCCCTTTGCCTCTGCTCTGTTAAAGGAACTGACTTGCTGAAATACACTTTCATTGGTGCTGCCATCTCTCCAATACCTGGCCCAAATGTCTAGATTAGACAGTAATATTGCTGTCTGGCTATGCAGTTGCAGGAGTTAGGGGTGATAGGGGAATGGCAGAGGAGGGTGGGACACAGCCAATGTCGTTTTTGTCCTTATTTAACATCCAATAAATTAACTTCCAGACAGCAATTAGGAGTAGGAACCCAAGCTAAGTCTTGCCTTTACTAAAAAGGCCAATTTAGCACGGTGCGCACCCTCAAGTCATTGTGATCAGCTAACAGCGAAGATTGAGTATCACAAATGATACCTTCCTCGTCTGTGGGCTCAGCACTATGCTGTCCATAGTCTCTTTTTTCAGATGTACATTCTGCATCGTAAAAACACAATGATTTCAATGGAACGCAGAAGGCGGATCTCTAATACAAAAGGTATGTAGTTTTACAGTGTGAAGAAAGTAAATCTTTATAGCCTTAAGGAAGACGTGCACTTCTTTGTGTTTTGATGTGGCACTGAGATGAAAAGTTTTGCTTAGTCTCATTTTGACAGGCCCTAATTTCTAGAACCCAATTTCAGCTGTTTATTGTTTCAGGTAAATGTTATTAAAGCTGAGCGCCGTCAGATGTCATGTCCCACTGTCCTCAAGGTCTGCTGGCGTGACAGACCCAGCAGTAAACCTATCATATCTGTCCTTGTTGTGTTCCATGGTACAGAAACAGTCAGTGAAGCAGGATCAAGCAGATCCAAATTGAGAGGCCCAGCTGAGAATTAGGAGTGCTCCCTACTCATTCTCATGAATTTTCTTCTTCTGCCGTTCTGCAGTAACAACTTGCCCAAGGCAAGATAGCTCCTTTAATTCAATCTTTTTGCATATCATTTTAACCATAAACCAGGATTTTACATATAAAATTAGACACAAGGTGTGTGGAAATTAAAAAGAAATGTTGTTATTAGAGAACGACCAGTTTAGTAGTAATTAGCTGTATTAGAATGTGATTAAATTTGATGCCCAGTTTGATATTTACAAGAAAAAATCACACTGCACATTTATGCATCCAGGAATCGGAACATGGCCCAGTTGGAGATTCTGAACTTGTTTTCCAGCCAATGCATGGGCATGTACACTGATTGCTGAAGTCCAAAAGGAGCTTGTGCCCAGCCCCAGTGAAACACAGCAGCTTTATGTCTGTAAAATCAAACTTTTCAGGACGAAGCAGGTCAGGAAGACTGTCCTGAAAAGAGACTAACATTCAGATCATGGATGATTCCAAAAGAAAGACCTTGATTACAATAAGGCAATATTCAGGTGTTTAAGTGTCGAAAAATAAATAATTTGCATTTTGGACTCCAAATCCTATCAGAGCAGAAGTTAAAACAATAAAAAAAGCTACCACTTTTATTAAAAAGTATCCTGAATTCAAGCATGTTGGACACCTATAATATGGCGCAAGGTCTTTCGTAGATCACACAAGCGACTCCTTACATGTAACTTTGTATTGACTAATGAGCACTTTATTTTTAAGTGAATAAACATCTTTGTGCTGAGACGCAATTTGGATGCAACAAAGCTCTCCACACTGTGCATGAATTCAAAAGCCGATCAGTTCCATTAAGAGGATAATATGTTATGGTTTTTTTTGTTTGCTTTTGGTAACTGTTATTAAATAGTCTCTAACTGTTGTTGTGCTTTTCCTGCAAAAATGATGTATTGATATTTCCCCCAAAACCTCATACTTGTTATCAAACCTGAAATAGTGAGTAATAAAATGTACAATTCCAGTGTTGTTTCTGAACCCTTTAACTTACAACGCAAGTTGAATTACACTTTAACTTTACCTCCTTTCCCACCTCCCCACGTTGTGGGCAGCCAATTTATACCCAGCATTGTTCCCCAAACAGCCAGGAGTATAAATCTACATCCGCCAATCTGTGCCACAGTGCCTTGGTTAATCACATGTGCACATTTTTGTTTGTTCATGCACAGAACTCTTTGGTCTAATCTTGCTAACTGATGCAGAGTCATGTCTAACAAGCAAAGAGAGTTCATGCACTAGAGTTCTTAAAACACTTAAAACTACTGACCCATTTTGGAAGTTGATTGAGTTGGCTGGGGGAGGCTAATGGCCTATTCCAGCCTGAAATTGTTACTAATGTAACTCAAGTATTGAATAAGTATCCTTTAAGACGATGGTAAATCATATTTATTTTATTTTGATTGCCTGGAATATCAGAAAATATGGCCTCTAATTTGGGGGGGTTTATATCTATAACATTGTCCTAGAAAACTAACTCTACAGCTTGACTGATTTAAGGTTTCTGAACAATATTAACTGCATGACTGATCTACCTGCCCCTATTACAGATTAAGGATCTCTACATATAGGAATTAAGTACAACCAAGATATTATGTGGCGGCTGCAGAGAAACTGGGGAATGTAGTATCTGTTGCCTGTTTTGAATACTGTTGGTAAATATTCATTCCGTACGAGTGCTGAGTAGCAATTCTTTGTAGTTGTCAGATGTGCAGAAGGTTACTACAGTTCTCAGTAAATCTTTAATTGAAGCATCACCCCACTGATTCAACAAAAAATACCAATAGGTTAGATGTTGGGAGCTTTAATGTTACCACAATGAAAACCAAATTTCCATTACACACCCATCTGTGTGTCTTTTATTCAAAGGGTGTTCGAGAGGTGATTTACTATCTTCAATTCCTTGCATTGTTACAGGGCTATTCATTAGAAACAATCACGGTTACTTATTTTAGAACTGCTACGTTATCCTAGCCACAAGAACCTAACTTATATGCACATGACAACGACAGAATCAAGAAGACATCGTGCAGCTTGATCCTTTATGGATTATCCAATTCTTTTTCAAGTCTTCCCAGCTTTGCAGACTACAGTTTGCCCTAGACACTGCAATCCACCAGAGCTTAATAGTGGTGCCAAAACCACAATTCTGCTGTCTGAAAGCACAGAAAACTATCATTTTCGCTTTCATAAAATGAAGATAAAGTTCTTGATTCCATCCTGTAAACCTGTAACAAACAATCTGAGCTTAGACATTAGTTTTGAATGACCACAAGATCCCTTCACTCTTTTTGGTTGACTTCAATTATCAATGACATGAACAAGTGTAAGACGCTAAGCAATAAGCAAAGAAACGTGTTACCGTTTCTAAAGAAAACCATCTATTCAATTGCAATTACTCTGTGTCTCGACATTGTAATGTTAGCCTACTATTTTAAAATATTGTTCAAAACCGCAATTCCTTGTTGAAGCTAGGGAAATACACAAATATTTGTGTATTCTGGTAAGGTAATTAATTAAAATGGTAATTCCCTTCTTAATCTTATTCTGCTTTTAATTTATGTTCTATTATCAGATAGCGAACTTATAGTAAATTATATTACTTACTTAATTTGCTATTTAAAGTGATTTTATTTTAGCTGATCGTATCTGTTATATACATATATTAAATGAAGCACAGATAGGTTAGCATTGAAATTCTGATTCTTTAATATGTGAAAAAGGGCTTGGATAATTTGTTTCTGTCTGCAGTTTTTCGACTTTTTTTTACAAAAGGATCAGGTTAATAGTCAACCATGAATTATCCTTCATACATTCCTGTTCGCCTGCTCACATTGGCTGTTTTATGGTATAATTGATGGAAATAGATAACAACTCAGGCTTTTATGGATAAACTACATTATCCTCGTTGGCAGATTGTGGAGATTTTATTTCAGCAAATTTCACTTTCCCAATACTACTGTGCTTCCTGTGAAAAAGGTACCGCTTTTGAAAAA